AAGGAAGATATTTTATGCTCGTACCCATTTACAAAATCTTCGAGTGCAATTCAGAGGAAAATTAAGCTGCAGTATGATCAACTTGTCAAGTCCCATGAGTCCAAAAGCTTGACTCTGGCTCAGGTTCTTTTTTTTTTTCCTTTTTGGAATAGATTTCAGTGATTTATTTATTTAATTTTTATAAGGTGTTTCTTGATAAAGCAAAATATTGCGTTTGAATTAGCGGGGTTGTCATTTTTGTGTGTGTGTGTGTGTTTTTTTTTTCTCAAAGTCAAATATAACCCTTTTATTATAATATTTTGGATAAAGGAAAGGTCCTTCTGCCTTCTAATCAATTTATTTTTGCTTAAATGTTTTAACGTAATTTTATTTATTTTAAAAATGAGGCTGAAAATGGATTCACTGCAAGTGAGAGAGACTGAATGAATGATTAAATGAAGGTCGAAATTTAGGGAAATATTTCTACGCCGAGAATGTTTGACAGATAATGGTATGGAAGTCAGGAACTGCAAAACACTCATGTTTTGCCCCTTCATAGATTTTTTTTTAGGACTAGTTATTAGTCTCACATTGCTCATGGAAAGCTTGTTTCGTAGGTTTATAAATACATTGAACACCTATTTGTGAACACCTATTTGTTGAGGTTTTTATGGTGACTGGTAAGAACTCCTGGGATATTCTTTTGGTAAGTGAAGTGCCGGAAGGCACGAGTCAGAAAAGGAATATCAAGAAAAGGGGAAGCAGAGATATCTGGTAGGTGAAAGTGTGTTTGTGTATTGCTACTACTTTCTTGTTTTGGTAACAAGCATGGTGAGGCGAAGTGCTGCATCATTCCAGTGAAGGCATCCCGGCATTCTTCGTTCCACTCAAAATGCTTTGTGTTGCAGACTGCACATCTCTGATGTTGTGTGCGAGTGTTGGGGGTTATGTCTTGCAACACCTTAATCTTTCCAGGTTGCCTCAATGCCGGGCTCCGAGACCACGATTTTCCTGAATGTACTTCGAAGGTGCACTTGGCTGGTTTAAAGCTTGCCCCAGATTGACAGCCATCCTTCCGAGTTTTGACTAACATATATTCTAAGTAAACCTCCATGTTGTCCCTAATGACTTTTTGAACAGTTGATTGATCAACTTATTCAGTTTTTAAGCAAAATAAAATTAAAAATGTGAAATGAGAGGATATGAAGAGCAAGAAAATCATACTGCATGAATATAATAATTTGAGGCAATGTATTTTTTCTTATTTTCCTTTTTGTTTAATTTCTTTCTTTTTTAACAGGGGTCATTGGCTCTTGTGGGGATATATTATTTCCATAATCAAATATTGCATCAATTTTCATGAGTGGATCTGATTTTTAGAATTTGAAATCTTTGTGCTCTAAAATTCTTAAAAGCATCTAAAGCATACCATTCTTACGTTGAATAATGCAGGTGGGCAAATTCGTTAATTGTCTGATTGAGGCGAGAAATGAGCTGCAGAACAAGTATGTTTGCGATGCTTTCCTTATGTTAATAAAATAAAAAGATGAGATACATATGTTGATTTTATTGTTATGGTTGCCTAAATCTCTGTACTCACGTCCTGCCAAATTCCTTCTGGCACTTTAAGAACTAGCTTCGATCAAAAGTTTTCAGCTTTCTATATTCGAAGCATAAACACTTGCATCCTCTACAGAAAACAAAGCATAATCTGAAGTCAAATTGTTCATTTACCCATCATCATATGGCTATAAAGTACGGATTATTTCAGATATGTATATGAAGCTAGCAAATGAAGTTGTAGTTTTAATAAATCGCGTGTTCATCTCAAGCAATAACTCTAAAAAAGAGCTGATTTTCTATGACTGTTTTTAAGCAAACTGTGTGCTAGTCTTTAATGATACCTTTCTTGTTTCCCAAGGCCTTGCAGATTATGTGTTTTTCCTCGATCATTTACTTGTTTGTCGTCAGGGTTCGTCTATTTTTTTAATGAGGTTGGACCGTCTGTGAAAATTGAAATCTAACCTTAGTTTTTGATAGGAAACTTACCATTAAACTAATTTTGAACTAACTTTATTCTTGTTTGCAATCCTAAAATTACGCCGTTAACAGATCCGAGGTTGTCAAGCGGAAGTTCATAATAACCAAAGCCATATTATTCAAGGCGGACAGGTCTTCAGTCAACCGCCTGCATCAACAGGTGTGTAAACTGGTCGTACGTTTGACTTATCTTGGCAATTCATTTCCTCATCTGATTGCAATAAATTCTTTGTTAAATTAGATATACAAGCTAGAAATAGAACACAAAAGATTAGAAGATGACGCATTTGTATATAACTGGCTCCAACAACAACTTAAGCTCTCTCCCGCATACGAGAAGGTACATCTATTTCTCTGTTTATAAGTTGTTTATATGGACACACTTTCATAGATGTAGTTATGGATGTTTCACCTGCTGGATCAGATCACACTGAATAGGATTAAAGAAAGCAAGAAAGTTAAGATATTGTCTATTATACAGTACGTTATTATCCAATACTGTGTGAAAAAATGTGTTGGGAACACTTGATGAATTTTCCATCGATACTGTCATGACTGAATCGTCTTGGGGGAGTTCGAATCCAAGGTTTAACTCTTCTGGTTCTGTGGTTGGATGAAAAGAGCGCAAATTGCTACATTGTTTTCCTTTCATGTGCATTTCAATTATAAGTACTTCCTATTTCTCGTTACTTGGGCCGTGTCTTTCTTGAATGACAGTCTTGATGTCTTCTTATTTGAAGATTCTGGAACTTGGTGCCTGCATGGAGGAGATAAAAGCCAATTCTGTCGACCTTGTGGAAAGTACAGATGCCAACTTCTCTGATATATCATTTGAAGAGTTGCTGGCACAGGAAAAGAAGGATTCGTTTTGGTTTATTCTCAACTTAGACCTCAATTGTGCAATTTTTCTTATCGATTACTAGTAGGTAATAAGAAAAATTTCTTGTGCAGGCAGAGAAAAGGGAGATATAAACCGTGCTCGGGATGATAGGCTGATAGCGAGAATTTTGACTAATATGTACATTTTAGTGCCCAAAATCGCGCATTGGTGCAGAATTTTATAACTGCATGGCTTCTTTTTGTCGATTTTGAAGAAATTGTGACCCTTAATCTTTTGATTACCTGATAAGTTCTCAGGTCAAATGCTAATTAATCTTTGCTAACATCTATGTCGTGTCTGATGTTTTTGCCATAATCTAGTCTTTCGCACTATTATGTTTTTCACTTTTTTCATTTTTTTCTACCTTGTATTCGATGACGATATACAATTGCTTACCTCAAAACACCAGCATGGCCACTGGATATGGTTCGACGTAATAAAATAGACTGGCTCGGTCCATGCCTGGCTTGGCCCTGAAAAGCAAGTCTCATGCTTGACCGTACAAGGTTAGTGTAAGAGGTGAAAAAATGACTGGGCCAGTACATGTCGGCCTCTAGATCTAGTATCCTGTCTAGATTTTCTAGCTGCCAGTCTAAGGGAGGCCGGAGACTCGGACAATGGACCTACTTCAATAGATAGCATGACATGGACCAAGCAGGGTCGAGAAAATGAAATTCTTACCATTTTTACATGCACTAGACTGGCCTCATAATTTCATTAGATGGTGCTTCAAGCACTTAAATGTAATTGGTAACTAAGGTGCTCTGATTTTTTTAAGCCGAGAAATACTAATGTTTGCACTAAGAATAATGTTACCTAGCAGACGGCTATATTTTATAGGTTCAATTAAATGAGTTATATAACTTTGCAATTAAATGAATTTATAATTTATTGTTACGTAATTGTCACATAGATTGATGCTTAACACCCGTTGTGATGAATAACATTACTCTTTCACTAATTACCAAGCATAACATGAGCCAGAAACAGGGAGAAAACCACCAGAAAATATTAAGCCAGAATTGCATTAGTGCTTATGAACCATAAGAAAATTTGATATGACTAAGATCTCTTTTCTCGTATTAGAAAATCTCTACATATGATAGTCTGAAATTGACATTAGCACGAACAAAATCAAAACACGTAAGATACAAGACAAGCCTTTGCTCGGCTATTGGGTAAATACTTTTGTCGCGCAGTCTAAACCTGTTGTCCTGCAAAGTGGATCACTGAAACTACCAAATCGTGAAATTCCTCCTCTATCTTACATTAGTCGATCTTCACAGAAGAGTAGATCTTCCGAACAAACCAGAAGCAAGCATAGAAGCCAATTGTTCCAGTCAACACGAAGAACGCAAACGATGCAAGTGACATGTACCCAAAGTATAAAATTCCTGAAACCAGCTTACTGATTTCCAACTTGGTGAAGAAGTAAAAAACGGAGTATAGGAAAAGATACAGAGCAGAGGAGCCAGCAGTCAGGTAAGCCCTCCACCACCAATGATAGTCTTCACTGCACAACTGGAAGTAGCCCAGAACTATTACTATCTCGGCACATGTGATCAACAAAATCACGAAGACTATGAAGAGGAAGCTGAAGATGTAATAGAATTGATTCAGCCAGATAGATGTTAAGATGAAGAATAATTCAATGAAAACTGCCCCAAATGGAAGGACGCCTCCAATAAGTATGGAGAATATTGGTTTCATGTACCAAGCTTGTTCGGGTATCTGCCTTGGAATTTTGTTTGTTTTCACGGGATCTTCAATGGCGGGTTTTCTGAAACCTAAATAACTACCAACAAACACCAATGGTACTGAGATTCCAAACCATAAGCATACAAGAGCAAACATGGTTCCAAAAGGTACAGCTCCAGATGATTTTTCTCCCCAGATGAGAGCATTTAGCACCAAGAACACTGCAAACAGAATACCGGGAAATAGGAAAGCAGTTTTTAAGGTATTCTTCTTCCACTCGGTTCCCTTGAACATTTTGTACAGACGAGCCGATGAGTAGCCAGCAAATAAGCCCATGAAGACCCATAAAAGAACCATGGCAGTCATAAGCCCACCACGGTTGGACGGTGACAGAAAACCCAGCAATGCAAAGATCATTGTCACAAGTGTCATTCCAAAGATCTGAACACCAGTTCCCACATAAACACACAGCAATCCAGAATTTGTAGGTGCCCTAAAAACATCTCCATGAACAAGTTTCCATCCAGTTTCTTCCTGAGCTTCATCTTGGGTTTCCAGTTGATTATAGTTTGTAATATCTCTGTACAGAGTTCTCATCATGATCATGGCAATCATACCGGAGAGAAAGAGGACGATCATCAGAGAATTGATGATAGAAAACCAGTGGATTTGATCATCATTCATGAGAAGGTAGGTATCCCAGCGTGATGCCCACTTTATCTCACTTTCCTGCCAAAGAGAAGTTAGAATATAAATATTGAAGCAACTAACAAGTGCTTGAAGGAAAAAGAGAACACAAGGATCAAAAAAAGAGTACCTTGAAAGTAACATCGTAAGTGAATACAACCTCCTTGTCTGTATCAACTTCCTGAGGAAGAGCGCTTCTTTGAATCATATTTTTGGTGTTCTGGTTGCATGTTGTCAACTGAGGGTTCTTGTCATCCCACTCCTTGTACTCATGATAAAAACTGTTCAGACATAGTTAAGTAAGAAGTCCACGCTAGCATAAAAAATTATAGACTCTATAAAACCCTAGACCTTAAAGACAAAACTGTCTCAAGGCTTTTACGGGTACGGTTTAGAAAAATCTTCTTCAAGAGAAGTCTCTTTAATTTGCGATTGCAAAGAAATTCCTGTTATCAAATGTACTGCTTACTATTGCACTAGCACTCATGGTAAGATGCCTGAAAAAGAAAGAAAAGAACCTGTTTGGCGAAACTTCAAACCCAACAATTCGAGCAGCATCAGTTTCAGGATCTCTGTGATACATGACTGTGAAGCTTAAGTGGTTATTAATAAAATGTCTCTCCTCCTTGCTCTGCAGAAGCATGTAAATGTGTTAAAGTAGTCACAGTTATAGATCTTCCAGAAAGGCAAATTTCCAACTGCGACTAACCCCAGCAAAATTCCCCTTAAACCCGACAGGGAAACCATGTTCATAAGTTGTTGATGGACTTCCATCTCGTCTTGGTCTAGGAACAGCTACTGGAAGGTTATCTAGAATCCTGCATTCACATTGCCGGCAACAGTAAATGAAAAGAGCTAGATCCTTGTATTACATCACAGTGATTAGGTGATGAGAAAAAATAGCAAAACACGAGTCAAATAATGAATAAATAAACATGCGAAAGGACAGCGAAAATGAAGATGCACTGCACACAATACTTACATATTGACTCTGTATTCATCATCAACTTTTTCTTTGAATTTCTTTGCAGCTTCAGCATCAAGTCTAACACGACAAGCCACTTTGCAAGGTTGTTCCTCTCTCATGTTAAACTAGCATAAAAAATACAAGTACACCTTAGAATCAATGTAGACAGGGGAACCAAAGAAACAATAAATTAAATGGCAGAACTAGCTTAGACCAATAAATTAATCATGGATGCGTACAGTATAAACCGAATTCTCTATGCGGTCACCTCGAAGGACCTCACCCAAGTTTTCAGCAATATTCGTGATCTTGTCCGGTTTGCAGTATTTCAAGTAATAGAAATCATATGGAAGTTGTGTTTTAATAGAGGACAGCTTATTCACTTTGACTTGAAGTTCATCCCCCTATCAGAAAAGTGGACACACAAACATTACATGTGAAAAGGATATAAAAAGCTGCTCAATCCAGAAAGCTCTTTACTATAGCAGAAACATAATATACAAATAAGAATGAGCACTTTAAATCAATAAATATGCGTATGAATTTAACAAATCCTTATGTCCTCCAAACCATTGGTCCACAATTATCCAAAAAGTAACGACCACAAGAATCAAAGTAAATAATAAATGTAACAAAAATTACAGAAACATCATTCAATCTCCTAGTCATTACTATTACCAACAACTTTTTTGTTTTCATATTAGAAGAGAGCGAGCATTTCGTGAAATTAGAAATTAGGTGTGCCAGAATATAGTTGTTTTTTAAGACTAACTAGAAGTCCAAGGAGCTATGACTCTTCATATGATCGACATTGGTTACGTTAGTACAAGAAGGGGAAGTAAATAATCAGCAGCTTACATCAGTACGCGAAATCCAGGAATTGGAATTGTCACTGCCAGCTGTAAAGTGCCATAACTATTTGAAAAAGAACAATGCTACACTTATAGTCCTCCTTCACAGTCCACTCAAATGGAGGTGTGTGGGGCCCAACCACGTGTGAGAGGACTATGAAACTCCCGGTGAAGGGGACTGTACATTTAGCAAAATTGTTTAAAAAAGAACAGCCCCTTGTACAGTGTTTAGTGGGCTGTAAAATTTTACAGTCCACTCTAATTAGTGTGGGACCACTAAATACCTGCATCATCTAATTACTTGAACTTACAGCAAAAAAAAGCCGTCCAAATGAATTACTAAAATTGAAGCATTCGCCCAAATGCTCAACTTACGTATACCAGATTTCCACCGATCAATAACAGCTTAAGAAAACACAATGAGTTGAAATTAACTAACATTAAAAGGAAAATAATCCATATCGAAAAACCGATTGCAACGTATATAGATCCAAACATCAAATGATATTCCAGTTTACTCCAAATCAAGGAGTGTCATCCGGTACTTTAGAGTGCTTGCATGTGTCCTGTGTGAGAGAAAATGAGAGTGATTCTTACTCTTTGGAAATCGCGAGGGGCAACGCCGGGGAGATAGAAGGAATGCACGGACGAGATCAATAGAAGGCAAACAAAAATGGCGGTGACCCGAGCCGACGTTCCACGACCCATTTATCGTATTCGGATTCTGCCGGCAGAGACTGAGAGTGAGGGAGGGGTCCAGTGAAAACGTCTCTTTATAGTGTAGAAAGATGACGTTGCTAATTTCAGGATTGGCTTAGGTGCCGGTTTGGAAGCTTTTAATTTGTTTCTTTAAATAAATTCTCTTTTAATTACACGTGTGAACTTATTCGTAATGCCATATTTGTAATTTTTCTTTTTTATATTTATATTTATACAATAATTTTATTATTTGCACCATATTTTAATTACATTTAAAATCCTAGTTGTAACACTTATTTTCTTTAACAAGTGCCCATCAATTAGAAAATAATTTACATCCAAAAAGTTCTTTGAAAGAGCGTAATATAATTTATTTGTTTATTATTTTTTCAAAAATAAGTGCAACAAAGTATTTTTTTTTTTCCGTGTTTCAAAACACATTAATATATACATAAACCACCATCAACGAGAAAATGTATTAATTGAAGAAAGGATTATGATAACAAAATAAAAAAATTATGAATATAAATGTTACAATGTTGAACAAATATTGAGAACTTTAAATTCAATTAAAATATGATACAATAATTAAAAATTGTACATAAATACAATTAGGATGAGTTTGATTGTTAGTATGAAATTTGCTTTGAAATAAAATAAATTTAAGGTAATTGAATTGCCTGTGATTTATTTGTATGAAAATTATTAATTAAAAGTGTGTGATTGATTTAGTTTTCAGCCTGAAAAATATTATATATTTATCATTTTTTTTATTGGTGGGCATATAAGAGAGAGAAAGAGAGAGAATAAAAATCACATCTTCCTAAAGAAAATATTTTCCTTATTTTCAAGAAAAATATGGTCACGTGACCAAAAGCAGGAAAATAATTTTCATGGAAAAATTGTCAATCAAACAACGCAAAAGTATGAAATTAAGTGGAAACAAATATATTTTTCGTGAAAAATATTGGCAATTAAACGAACCCTTACTTTTTTCAATAAATGATATTTTTTGTTAAATTACATAAAATATATTGTATAAAACGTAAATTGATAAAATACAAGTAATGTTATTCGTAGTGAAAATTATCGACAGTCTTCTTATGTGGCATATAAGTGGTGATTTGTGATTTGATGCGGAAATCAAGAAAAAACTATCATATATACACCAAATCACAAATCGCCACTTGTACTCACTACAAATATTATTACTCATAAAATACAGCATGCAATATATAATTACACCTTATTTTCACGTTATTTTGTAAATTTTCCATTATTTAAAGAGTAGTTTCTTACTTTTGGAAAAGTTGGAGTATTGGTCCCTAACTTATCGACTTCTTGTATGTAAGTAAGAAACTAAGTACACCTAAATTAGTTAATTTCTTTCAAACCATTTTTCCCCATTAAAGTACATTAATAGAATATTTTGATAGAAATCATATTATTTGGCGCACGTTTTTATATTTTGAATTGTTCAACTATGGCCAAAGAAGTTAGGAAATCAATCGGGATTGCAAATCTTTTGACATTATTAACCAAAATTTTGTCATTGTTATTGCTATAGTTAGCAATTCTTAATTCCGATTCTTGTTTCTTTGTTTGATTTATACTATTTTTGTATAAAGTGCGCACACACGTAGTAACACATAAAATACGATATGTAAAATGTAATTTTATTCTTTTGCCAATAGATAAATTATTATCCGATAAAGTAGTGACATCATGTGTTGCTTGCTCTATGACATATTTCTTAGTTTTTAGAGGTTTAATTTCATAATATGATTGCTTGCCTATATTTGATTACATTTTATAAATTTTATGGTTTTAATTTCATATTATATTATGTTGTGCATGTTCAACATCACTTTTATTTCGTGACACTTAGCCCTTGTTCGATTATCATTTTTTCCAAAATATTTTTTTGTCTCAATTCTTTTTAATCACACATTATTTAATAAAATAATATTACATACAAATCCAAAATTTTTCCTTATTTTCTAACCACACATTCTCCATCAATCTATCGTTTTAAAATACATTCTATAAAAAAAATAAGGCTCAAACATGCTCTTAACTTGTGTTGTGGCGGAAATTTTTTTCATGTGTTTCAGTAACATTGTTTTGCATATTTTTACGTCCTTTGCAATTTTATAAAACGACTGATGTAATTTCACTTAGTTCTGCAACACGACATGGTAAGGACAAAAGTCTCGAAGGATTTTTGTACAACTTTGTATGCCTTGATGTGATTTGGTTCTCAAGTAAAATGCATTGCACTTGTTTTACTCACAATTCAAATTTACCTAGTATATATTACGTTACTTTCAAACAGCACTCTAAGCGGTGTAACTTTGACAAGACAGTGAAGTCAAACTTCGAGTTTTACGAGTCCATGCATAAAAACATGTTTTCTTATTTTTAATTATTTTAAGAAGAATAAACAAATAAAAATAATGCATACCAACCAAATAAAATTATAAATATTATAATTAATATTTCATACAACTAGACAATTTTAGCCTCTGCTTGCTATATATTAAAATCAGATTTTTAGTAGATTTGATAAAAGTTGATAAAATGTGAAATGTGTGGTTGAAAAGTTATGGACATCATGGGACGTGTGGTTAAAATTAATTGTTGACTTTGACTTGAGAATTTTGAAACTTTGACTTGAATTTAGTGCTTGTTTGGTAGGGATTTTTAGGGGAATAATTGATTTTTGAATAATGATATGATAGGAAATGTGTGGTTGAAAAAGAAGAAAAAATTATTGATGTGATGGAAAATATTATTTTATTGAAACATGTGTGGTTGAAAATAATAATTGATTTACTGTAAAATTTGAGAATAAAAAATAAACAGGTCCTTAATTACCCACTTATTTTATAAATCTGATTTTAATCTGAACCAAATGGGGCTTCAAGTTTTCATAAACTATACAATTTCAAACTTTTCAATTAGACACTTTGCCCTTGTTTGACAATCATTATTTCTCAATCTTTTTTCTTTCTTACTTGTTGTCACTCACACATTCTCACAATAAAATATTATTCACGTAAATCTAAAAAATTTCCTTATTGTATTGTAACCGCATATTCTTCCAAAATTTACTGTTCAAAAACTCATATTTTCCAAAAAAAAATATTCTGTCAAACATGGGCTTTTTATATGAACGTCATACGTAATTTCGAAGTTTACCTCTTTTAGGTTCTAGGATATAATTCTCCACCTCATCATTCTCGTCAACTTTCTACAATTCAAGATTGTGAATTACTAATGTCACTTGTTAATAGTGTCTTTTTGTCTTTCATTCTCTTCTCGTTCATCAACATTGCATTTAATTGGGCAAAAATACATTGCTCATCATCTTTAATTTGCACCATATTTGACTTGAAGCTCCTTTGATGAAAGGTATGTGGTCCCCTATTTACAATTCACACAAATTCATGACGCGTCTTATTTTTCTATCACTCCTAGCATCAATCATAACAAAATACACCCACTATTTTTCCACCATTCTTTTTACTTCATAAGAGTTTATTTTGTTCTCTCCACCTTTCCTTTCAAATGTGGCTTCATTAGGTTGCACTGGGGCGAAGGGCTGTGGCCATATTGACCAAGAACTTCAAACAAGAATTTTGAAGCTATTACTTTTACTTGCATTAAAGAATTCCAGCTTCATATACTCATCTCATCAAACATTGATGAACCTCTAATAACCCTTTCTTATAAATTGCGCATCTATGTTTCATTGTCTTATTTTTCTTACTTGCACTCATCAAAGCATAAACTGGACTACCCTGCAGATTGATATATATAAAAACAAAAAAGTCCCTTGTATAGTCCTTAGTGGGCCGTAAATTTTACAACCCACACTAACTAGTGTGTGGTCCACTAATTAATTGTACAGGCCTTAGTGAGTTGTAAATTTTACACCCACGTTAATTAATTAGTGAGTTCCACACTAATTAGTGTGGACCGTTAAATTTGCAGCTCACTATGAACTGTACATGTAGCATATTTCATATAAAAACCACATTACTATGCCTTTTTCCAAGTTCCCCTTTTGATGTGTGGGGTGGGTGTTGAGTGGGTTGGTGAGCTTGGCTGGATAAGATAATTTTTTTCTAAATTCTTTTTTCTTTGGTCAATATGTATTTTGTTGTTTTAAGTGGGATATATTTGTACTTTTGCGAAATTATGAGACTCAATTTACAATTTTTCCTTATGTTTTGTTGTTTGACTGTTCTTTTATTTTGTTTATTTAAATAGAAAAGCAAACCTGTCATTTAATGACCAAAATGGAGGAAAGGAGGAGTTCGCTCCATAATTGTAAGGTTGAAGATGAATTATTCTAAAAAAGTTGATGACAAATTTGTTACATTTCACAAAGTTTGATGATGAAAATGCAAGTTTCCTTCTGTCGAATGTATCATGTAGGGCGTGGCAGCAGAAAAAATAAAGAAATTATTTAACAATGATGAAAACAACGGAGGAAAAGTTACCTGAAAGAATAAAGGAGGATGACTGAATTAAAATATTCACGCCATACACCATGCGTAAACTACAGTCTCTCCCCAAATGTAAATTTCCTCCGTCTGAGATTTGGAGCGTGAGATCACGCTCTTGAGCGATTATAATTTGTGGCATTTTCTTTTCTAAAAAAGGTATATGGGCGGTTTAGTGGGCGCCAGGTCGGTGCGGAGAGGCTGCGGACACCACATAAATCCGCCTTCAATCGTCATTTCAATACTATTTTTTACTTTCAAATTTACTTACCTATAATAAGTGATTTTTTAAAGCACATTTTTTTTAAAGCGTGAATCACCTTACGCCTATTTGAGTCCCATTTTTTTTTGTCCAAAATATATTTTGAAATGATATTTTATTGAAGAATATGTAATTAAAAAATAAAAAAGATTTTGAATTTACATGAATGTTATTTTACTGAAAGATTTGTGGTTGGAAATAATAGAGAAAAATAATTTTTAAAAATAATGGATAAC